TCCAAGGTCACCCAGTGAGTTTCACCTGGGTCTCCCAAGGACTCAGTTCAACCTTCTGACCTCTTAGCCATCCGCCCCTCTTGTTGTGGGTGACATGGTAATGCAAAATCTTTCCTGTGACTGCTCCTATGAAATGCCAAGGTTTAATTCAGTCCAGATTTCAAGGTGGTATGTGGAATGGGGTATTTGTAACTCATTGCCCTTTCCCATTTTAAAACAACTCATTTCAGGCTTGAAAAGATTCTGTTATACTCCTGGAAGGGCTCCTACTGAAGCAAAATCAAGCACAGCTTATCAGAGGGGTGTGGAATGAGTCCCACTTTAGTGCTTTTCAGCATAATATTTTGAAAATGATTTAGTGTTACAGCATCCTACAAAAAAATTGGAAGTAGCAGGGATGGCCAAAGGAACAAGCACTGCAAAGAACTGGATTGGCAAGCCCCCAAAACAAGTTTGAGGATATGAAGTCTCGATAGATTGTTATTTCTCAAATAGGGGACTGCAAGGACTGGGGATTTTTTGTAGGGTTAAGAAGGCATGCAAATTCCTTACTATGTAAAGTCAAAAAAAGGATTTGTGGCATCCAAACAAGGGTACCATCAGAGATTAATTCAATTTACAGAGGCAGAGTAGGCAGAGCTTCTTAATCTGTAAATCTCTATAGTACGTGTATATTTATAGCCCCACTTTAGCTTAGTGGTTTTACCTCTGAATTGCATCTACCCATTCAAGGCCTACAAACTGAGTATGTGTTTGAAAGGTTGGCTCATGGACACTTTTGCCCTTTCAGTGGGTTGGGAGTAACAGCACTAGACATCAAATAAAAATGACTCAAATCTCACCTCTCTTTTTACTTACTTGCTTTACTTACACTTCTAAAGAAAACCCCAAAAGAAATGGGATGAGTTTGTGTGCATGGGGTGGGGGTGTTACTTGCAGTTTAACATTTCTTGTGGCTGGCGAGACTCAGCTGCAAGAGTCAAGCGCTGACTTTTGTTGTTGCTTTTGTTACTCCAGTAGAGAACAGCAATAAGAGTGGGAAACTGTAGGTCTCATGCTAGAGGGAACAGGCAACCCAAAAAAATCCAGTGGAGAACAGTTGGGTTTCAAACCTTTATTTGCAGGACAGACAGCCTGACATCTGTGCGTGGGACACAATAAATTAAATAAATATTAAATAAGAAAAATAAATAAGTGGGGGGCACACAAGTGTAGGGAACACACAGAAATACAAAATCCAACTCTGGCCAGTTACCTTTACGTGCAACTGGCAACATCAAGTCACTCAAACTAGCCCAAATCAGCAAGAGGTTCAAGCTTGAATAGACACATTAGGCCTTTGGGGGGCCAAATGAGAACACGATTCACAGAGCACACGGATGTGTCTTCTCCAGTGTAATGCAAATCCCAGTCATTCTTGGGAGCCAAACACCATGCAGTCAAAGGCCATGCAATTACCTGGAGTGTTCTCCAGTTCCTGGATGGGAGGTTTGGCTTTTGTGGATCATGATCTGAATCAATAAAGTGACATCACATTTCCCAATCGACGGACAGTCCCAGGCGATGACTTCTGGAAACTATACAGAAATCCAACATTCTTAGATACTAGGCTTTGCTAGTAGATATACCACAGGGAAGGGGGGGGGGAGCAACTCCTCCAGCACACAGACACATAGGAACACACATCCAAAAGAAGACTGCAAGGTCCTACTTCAGAATGAATAGTCCAGTAGGGGCTCTATTGGGGGTTCCACCTCCTTGCACTGGAGGTGTACTAAATGGAACATGACCTTTAGGCTGAATCTAGATTCCTGTTACTAAGCAGCTCTTAGCGGAGACTTCAAACAGGCTAGTAAACTGTTAAGTGGCAGCATTTCCCGAATCAAGGGCATATCTGAAAGAGCAAAAACAACACAAGAAACAGGCTACTAACTTCTACAATATCCCATTAGAAGAGGGGGTACTGGAGGTTTTTTCCCCAGATGAAAAAAAACATACAAGCACGACTGCAGTAAGGCTGCATTCCTAAGCGAGACAGAAATAAGTTGCACTGAAATTGTTTAGAACTTGGGTGACTTTTTTAAAAAAGGTGCCAGAGACCTCCTCTTTTGGGAGAGATGTGCAGTGGCAAGAAGCCTTGCAAACTTCTTGGACCTTTATTATAAAGCACACTGCTAACACTAAGGCAGGCCTGCTCAGCTTGCGACTCACCAAACTGAATGCAATTTGTGAGGGTCTGGATACACCTCTGTTGTTGTGGCTTGCTGGATACTACAAAAACCGCTGGGATGTAGGGTTGCAACTCTGGCTTGGGAAATTCCTGGAGATTTGGGGAGGGGGGGTGAATCCTGGGGAGGGTGATTGGGGATGGGAGGGACCTCAGCAGGATAGAATTCCACAGAGTCTATCCTCCACAGCTGCCATTTTCAGTGATAATGTTTCAGAGATCAGTTATAATTCCAGGAGACCTCCAGGCCCCGCCTGGGGGTTGGCAACCCTATGCAAGGATATGCCTCTCTAGCACTTGCCAGATCACACTACACGGCTAGCAGACGGTGTTTGCTTTGGTGAGTCACAAGTTGAGCAGACCACTGCTAAGGCAATTAGTCAAGAACCCCAATACCAGGGATGCACGGTCACTGCTCATTCCTCAGAATGGGAGTTCAACAGCTAAAACAAACTAATACACGACAATCAACATTTCACACCAACAGCTTCTCTCTTCCCTTTAAGAGTCCCTCCACAAAGGCTGCCCTTGGTGAGAAGACCAAGCACCCATCACAGAAAATGCCAATGTAGGCCCCGGTCACACGGGCAGGAAACTGCGGGGGAGAAGTGTGGCTGTTTGCCCTGGGGCAAACTACTGCGCGGTTACGCGATCAGACCTCCTGTGGAGGTCCTGTGGAGGTACCGTGGAGGTTCCATGGCAAGGGAGAGGTGCTGATCACAGGACAAGCCAGCGCGCAACGAAGAAGCGCGCGCCGCGGCAAACTGTTTTTTTTGTGTGTGTACATGACAAATGCACATGCTCCGTTGGGTGCGTGTGCGCATCCACAGAGACTTGGACAAAAAACACACAACTTATTTGCAAGGGGACATGGGCGGGCGCCGGATGCCACCGGAAACGTGATCAGACGCCCGCCCTTGCCCCGCAGTTTCTGGAAACTAGTACCTCCGAGGTACTAGTTTTTTGCCACACAGTTTCGGCTGGAAGCCTCGGTTGAGCCACGGGAGTGCTACGCTTCCCAGATGTGCTGGTGAGATCACGCCCGGAAACTCTGCCTGTTTTCCGTCTCACTTGTGTGGCTTCTGTTCCGTGTGACCGCAGCCGTAATGCTGCTTCCTCTGATTCAGAAGCTTCCTGGTGTCAGGAGGAAAGTCATATCATGTGGAAAAAGAGCAGAGGGAAACCTTCCATTTGCTCAGCAGGACTCAACACCCACCATTTTAAAAATGGTTGACTCAGGTGTCAAAACAAATGTTGCTTCCCGATAAAATACACGCTAACTAGATTCCTGTAGGGTTTCCTAACAGAGAACACATTTTGCTTCGTTCAGATCAAAACTGCTGGAATCCTCTACAGTGATGGCCATTTCCAAACCCTGCATTTTGCCCTAAGGATGACTTAAAACTGGTTTTGGGACTTCTTTTACCACCAAAAGCCCTCTTCTCTGCCTAAAAAGCAAGCCATGAATAAGCCCAGCTTTCTCGAGAGGAATGGACTTGTTTTACCTCAGCTAAAAGTCTCACGTGGCCCAGCACAAAACAATAGGAATCTTCTCTATTTCTCACGGATGTTTCCATTTTCTCTGCCACCTTTTCCAGCTCCCCTCTCCCTTTCTTACTGACAACTGCTAAGAACACTGACACAAAAGGAAGGGAACTACTGAAACAAAAGGAAGGGAACTAACACTGGCTTGTGCATCAGGTTCAGACACCAGGAAAGGCCCCTTGAGACTGAGGGAATTTTCTTCCAAACTGCACATCTCTCTTTCTGCAGAGAAGAGCATGATTGAGCAAGGAGTAAATAAATGAAAGGCTTCCTGGGCAAAAAACCCTCCCAAGTACAAAAGAGAGGCCTTGCTGGATCGCACCAATGGTCCATCTTGTCCAGCATCCTGTTTCATACAGTGGCCAACCACCAGTTACCTTGGAGGGCTAACAAACAGGGCAGAGGGACCAAGGCCGTTGACCAGCCTTTCAACAACACAGGCTTACACCAAACTGAGCACACAAATCAAGTTACTGGAGTGAAAACCTCAAAAATACAGCACACCAGCTGCTATTGCACTCTTGCACACTTCCCTTTTTCCCCTGATAATTAACACAAGAAAAGGCTTCAGAACCATGTCTGACCCTGAGAAAAGTTCTCCATGATAAACATTAGAAACCACCTGGTATGACTTGAGTACTTTCAGTCCCTGCATCTCCCACACCACAGAGACGTCTGTCACCATGTAACTGAGACGGCGACCTGAGCATGTAGGGGGTTTGAGGACTAGAGCTTCATTCTATGTCGAATGAGAAGCAGATGCTGTCAATTGCTAATACGAGACCTTGCTACCATCAGGCTCTGTCATTACTAACCAGCTCTTGAGGTGCACAACCTATGGTTGCTTGCTCAAAAGAGGGGAGATTTGTGACGGCAGGAGAAGGTGGCAGGTACCAGGGGCGCAGCTACAAAGGAGAACAAAAAAGGATTGCATTCCAGCGGAACGAATGGTCCAGGATGAAGAAAAGTTAAAATCCCAAAGGCTAGCTGATTTGTGCATGCCATGGCGAGGCTTAAAACCTCATTCAGTAAAGCCAACCATGAAACAAAGATGCAAATGCCGATTGTCCCCAAGAAAGCAAACTGCTGCCACTTCCCTTCACCCTTGTCTGATTACTGGTTTGCACTTCAGACCCCGCACACCTATCCAGGCAGTCCTTGCCTCTCCCAGTCTAGTCAGAAACGCAAGGCTGGAGCACCGCTTGCATACCCTGCAGGGATGCGGGGGAGGACAGGGAATGGTAAGAGATTAAAGGGCTAGAACCGGCTAGTGCAAAAAAAAGTTTCTTCCGAGTCAATGAAGGGGCATCTCCAAGCACTACAGCTCTACATGTACATCACTGTAGGATTTGTCCACTGTCCACTCGCTTTGGTCCTCATCCCCACTGTTTATGTATCGAGCCATCTCCTGTTGGAACTGGAGCTGTCGTCGCTTATTGGGATCAACATTGATCCAGTTGTTGGCAATCCACTTAGTTCCTTCGGTGACCAAGCAGCCTCCGTGCAAGGAATATTCATCCAGGTCTCCAACCCAGCCTGCAGGAAGATAAAAGCCCATGAAAGGCTGCACAGGGAATCCTAGCCTCAATTTCTCTACAACACACCCCTCAGTTATTAATGTCTGGTCGGCTAATCAGAATTCAGAAGACATCTAGGACACACTCGGCATCCTGTAGCCACGGGGTGACATATTACCTTCTCCATCTGACAGGTAATTGTACCAGAAGACAGCAGTGCCTTGCAGGGGCTTTACACGAAGGTTTCCCTTATCACAGTGTTTACGAGTGTCACGAAGGTCGACATCATTCTGGATCAAAGACTGAGAAAGAAAGAGGAAAATGCTATTTATGCTAGGGATGGTGGAATGCTGGGAACTCCTCATTATGGTCGAGACCAGTGGTTCCTAACCTTTTCCAGTATGTGGGCCTTATTTCAATGTAAAAAAAAAATCATGGACCCACCACATGACAGTAGTTCTACTATTAATATATGTGGATTGAGAAGATACATCATGATAAAAACATGAAAAAGACCATGCTTAGCACACACATAGATTTGCAGACCCCTTGCAATAACTCTGTGACCCCCCCTGAGGTCCTTAGCCCCCAGGATAAACATATGGAACAGAGGTCCATCAGTGGCTATTAGCCACAAGGTATAGGTAGGAACTCTCGGTATGGAGCAAGTGATGCTCTGTATTCTTGGTGCTTGGGGGGGGGCAACAGTGGGAGGGCTTCTCGTGTCCTGATCCCACTGCTGGACCTCCTGAAGGCACCTGGTATTTTTGGCCACTGTGTGACAGAGTGTTGGACTGGATGGGCCACTGGCCTGAGCCAACATTGGCTTCTCGTATGTTCATATGTTCACTGGTCTAGTCATGTGGAACATGGACCAACTTGGTAAAGTCCACATTTCCCTAATAAAGCAGGTGTCTGTCAGACCCTGTTTTGCCACAAAATGACAATCTGGGATTGTTCTGATTCCCTTGGCTCCTCCTACCACACTTGGTATCTCCTGTTCTTTTTAAGTTTTTACACTCCTCTGTGGCCGCATCTTTGACAATCTAGGAAACTGACCTCTCTAATTCTCATCTTTAACATAAAAGAAAACAGCTGCAAGGAAAACCTATTCCAATTTCTGTAGAAACAGCACCATGTGCAAGTACATACCATCTCTTCATAAGTCCTGTTGTCAGCAATAGGAAAGGTAGTCTCTCCTCCTCCAGTCACATTGTTTAGGTAGAACAGTACTGTCACATAGCTGTAAAACACAGGTGGTCACTGCAAGCATGTAAGGCTTCTGAAGCACTGAAATCACTCAGCACCCCCCTTTATACAGTCAGTCACATCCATTATTCAGTGCTTAATTGAGGGCATTACTTGTAATGATTCCTTGTTTTATGAGTTTGTGTGTGCCTTTAAATGCTTGGTTGGAGTGCATGGTTAGTAGACTAGAGTGGTTGAGAGAGACAAATGTGCTGTGATTGGTGGATGACAGAGTGTGGGAAGGGTTTTTGAAGTGAATCTGTGTGGGTGTGTCAGTGTGTCAGTTATGAGAGACAGAAATCAGTTGGAATTGTTCAGTTAGAGAGTTAAGTCAGTGAGTGTTCAGTTAGTTCTGAGTGAGTTCTTAAAGAGTGCAGTATATATGTCCTTAGCCTGTGTGGCTGACTATAGGAAAGAGTTACTCCTGCTTATGTTGGAACTGAGTGTCAAAACAAAAAAAAAGTAAAGGAAAAAAGACTGTGTGTGTGATACATTTGATAGACATATGTTCAAGTCCCTTTATCCAAGATAGTTACAGAATAACCAACCTCATATTTTGTTCTTACTTCAATAAATCATCTTTTGTTCAAGTTTATCCCCAAATTTAGTTCTATCTTTCCTCAGGACCACATAGATCCCTGAAAAGCCCCGACTCTAGGTCACCTTACCAGAAAAAGAAACAGAAGGTTTGGAAATCCTTAAATTCCTGGTGGCAGCAGAATCTTCCCCATTTACAAAAGCAAAGAGCGCATTTAAAGGGAAAACCAGTCCTCCCTAATAAGAGGATGCCACATTACTCACTTCACAGTCTTGAGTACAGAGGTTGCTAGGTGAGTCTAGAGCAGGAGCTATAGGTTCCAGTTTCACAACCATCTATACTCGGAAGGCCAATTTCATAGCTAATGGAAATGGGAAAGCTATTTCTCTTTCCCCTATCTGGTCAGTGCTGGTCTTTTCCTCTCACACACACAGGGGGCTCTCTCCTGCAACTCCTAATATCAGCTGAGAAAGCCATGTCACAAATCTGAAAGCAAGCATGTACCCTGACCTTTGATGACCACATCAACAAGGAAGACGAGCAGTAACACATGAATGCTTATTCCTTTAAAGTCATTCTGGAATTTCTGTTGCCAACAAACAACATGGAGCAGCGTGAGGACCCAGAAAAATCAACTGCTTCTCCAGAAGCCAGACTTACCGGCATGATGTTTCAAATGGAGCAGTTTCATTGGTGACCAGTTTGGTGTGACTGCAGGCGGTTTCTGGGAACACCGGTCCACTGTCCATGTGGGCATGGTAGTGTCCTCCCTGGCTGTACTGCACCACTTGCAAGGGTTCACTGTGCTCCACAATCTCTGAGGGCAGGCGGGTTAAATGCATCACCCTGAAGAAGCAGAGGCGTCCCATCAACATAACTACACACACACACACCTACACACACACAGACACACACACACACTCTTCCACTAACCATGCAACTGAGATAAATCCAACTATTATCCCTAAGAAAGCCAAGTCTCCCTCTTTTGGACCACCAAATGCCAGCCCAACTGTTTGCCCCATCGTATGCCAACTCCATAGCCCAACTTTAAGGCTGCACCCAAGTGAAGATAAAAGCTCAAGAGATCAAAACACATTGAGTTAAAGACCAACCATGGTTGCCACAGAGGCTATGACAGTGATACCTCAGTGTCGTCCCCACAGATGCCATTGTGCTCAACTCTGAGTTTCTTGGCATCTACTTCCTTTCTCCCCACCCACTGCATTTCTTCTCCTAAGCAAAGTGCAAGTCCTGGATTTCCTCCACTCTATTGGGGCTGGAGGTGTGTCAGTATACCCCCCAAAGGCATTGCTTTTGGGTCTACATAAAGTTCCTGTTTGGAAATAGTTGCTCCTATTCTAGGATGCTTGATAGTTGCTCCTATTCTAGGATGCTTGGCTTAAAAGCTTCCAAAATTTTGTAACTGCCCTTCACTATCCTACCGCAGATAAAAGTTCCCACAGGCCCAACACGGTTAGGGACCCCTGGGATTTCTCCAACATCAAAAGGGTAAATGAGGGCTCCATTCCAGTCTTGGCTGCATATTTGCTAAGCAAATCTGGTCAGTGCTTTGATGGGAGACCCCTCAGGTATGTTGCCTTGAGCTCCACGACAGAAGGCAGGCAGGATATAAATGAAATAAATAAAACACACAGAGGCACAATATACTAAAAAGGTATCTCTGTTCCAAATGCTTGCTTCCATTTTTTTCACCCCACGTCATCACGCACTTATAACATGTCCTGTTTCAAAAACAAAGCCATGTAATGCGTTATTATATTATATTATATTATATTATTTTAAATCATTATGTATACTATGTTTTTATTATGGCAAGGTTTTGCCTTGCCTCTGTAAGCCGCCCTGAGCCTATCGGGGAGGGCGGGGTATAAATGCGAAAAATAAATAAATAAATAAATAAATATATAACCAACCAAAACAGTGTGCTTTCAAGTTCTCCGTGGTTTCTCATCAGTTCATTTTATTTACAGTGTTTTGAATATATGACACAAAAGCCATGGATAAATATTTTAAATAATTTAGGTGGGGAATATTTCAGGCCACGGTACTAAGGCCTCTCTGCATCTCAAGGAGGATGTGCTGCTGACTAGATTAAGTTAGGTAGCCTTGGTTGGAGAGGGTTAGCCTTCTGAGATGAAGGAACAATCAGGCAACCTCTGTCTGAAAATGTAAAACCCAGTAGCTGATCAAATGTTTCTCTAGGGCCAAACGGAACACATGGGTACCTGAAATGGCTGAAAGAAAAACCACTGAAATCACTACATTAGCAAAAACTGGAGATTAATTTACGTGAGTCACTCGGTAAAGAATTATCTAGTAGGTGTGGAGCAAGTCCAATCCCAGATAAAGTTCTGCCGACTGCGGAATCATTCTCTTTGATAGATAGCTAAATTAATTGTTTCTCAGAATATACAGAGATTGCATGTAGCTACTCTGAACCCAAAGATTAACATCAACCAAGATGCCACCTGCCCCCTTGGAGGCTCTGGGTAGTTCAATTTTCTATTCAAATTATTCGCCACCTTATGACTTTGTATTGTGTTTTAACGCTGGTTTAATTTAACTTGGATTACAATGTTTTTATTCTGTTGTAAACCGCCCTGAGCCCTGCTTGTGGGGAAGGGTGGCTTAAAAGTCTAATCAATCAATCAGTCAATAAGATATCACCAAAAACTGTGCAAGATTATGAGCATATTTTACCAAGCTGGAATTTTTAAAAGGGGTGGGATGGGTGTTCAGGCCATAACATTAAGGGCTTTTGTCTGTACCTTTTGTCAAACTCGACACCTCATTTGCCATGGTCAAAGTGTAATGCTATCAAACCACTGGGGGGGGGGGGGCTTCTGTGTGCGCGCGTCTGTGACTGGGGATGCTTTGCTATGCAGCTGTAACTATTTTCTGAGATGCCTCCCTGTCTCTCTGGGAAGACCGAACACTGACCTTGGACACTGTCTCTGCTTGCTCCGCTGGCATAGATAACAGGTGCCTCACCGGG